TCCCCCCGGACGCTATTTTTAGCATACAAAAGGAGGACATGTCCGGGGAAATCCGGACGTATGGTAACCCTAGTTGGTGGGAGTGGTGTCCCAAACTCCACTCTTACCTCTGGGCTATTGGCTTGGTGGATTGCCTCGGCTGGGTGTCGTGATGCCAGCAGGAGCAACAATGGGATCAGGGCCCAGCTGGGACCAGCAAGTCACTCCCCACATTCTCATGATGGAAAGGCAGCAGACCAAACCTGAGACGGGTCCTATGTAAGTGCACTGGTAGTGCACACTGGATAATCTGGGCCTGATTTCTGTGGGTGCAACTGAACCCATGCTACAGCTGCCTCTGCATGAGACAAATAACCTGAAGAATGCATGTAGTGGAGTGGTTAGTCTACAAACTCACCGTATATTATAAGCCTGCAGGAATTGCTAACAGTTAATGTGATCCTATTAAGTGTACTGTTGTAAGGTAAAACAATTCTGTTAGAGCAGCAACCATGCAATGACAAGTTTTTTCAAAGGGAAATCATCTCTTTGAAAATCATACTTTTATTTCCTCCCTTAGTTACTTTATTAATCACACCGCACCCCCACCTCCCCCCATCATACACATGTTTAACTTTACTGTTATTCACAGTAGTAAAATTACTCATGTGCATGTTTGCAGGACTGGGGCCTCAGAAAGCTGAAAGTGAAATTTTGTTTTCAAATCAGATTTGTAATTCTCTAGCTTTATAATATGTTCATCTACTAATTCATGTGCAGATCAAGAGGCTTTGTTTACACTGCTTATTCTTACTGCTCATGTGCACCAGTACTCAGATCCAGTTGATAGGAAAGATGGTTTTCAGGGTTTATGGTTTTTGTTTTCAGCTGTGTGTGCGCCTGTTTGCACTATGCAAAACAAAATATAATATAAAATGTGTATCTGGTGTGTTTTTTTTAAAAAGCTCTTCAGTGGAAAAAAAAGCTTTTTCATTTCAATTTCACGACAACGTTGTGATTCCAAACTGCAAAACCTTTGTGTTAGTCATTCAGTCCGAAAAACCTGAAAAGTAAAGTCACCAGGAATTCTCTGGTGTTTCTGATTTATTCCTGTTTAGCCCTTACTTTCAAGTTGTATTCTCCTTAGGTTGCGCAGCTGTATTAGGTATAAATTGGAGGATATAAAAAGCTGCTGTTTCTTGGAGGGACCTGTAGAGGGTGCAGGTGTACTAATGCTCATGATTATAACCCAAATCTTGCCATTTGTTTGGTGTTAGGCATTGTTCTGTGCAGTCTCTCTCTCTCTCTCTCTCTCTCTCTCTCTCTCTCTC